CAGTCTTTAACAATTTTTCACAGATGGTCTTTTCTAATCATCATTGCTTTTTCACACTATTTCACAATACCAATTTCAATATAATGATGAATATAGCAGTTTCTTTATTTAGACAAAAATTTATTGTAATGTTTGATACCAAAACTAAAACAACGAATAATGTATGTTTTATTACCTCCTGATAATGTGGTCGTTGTCTCAATAATTGATGAATTTCCTGAACCTGAAGTTTGAGAGTAGACACCTGAATTACTTGAAATATCAGTTGCGAACGATTGTGATATTTGCAAATGAAAAATTTGCTATCAGTTTTTAAATAAAAGGTCACTGAGTCCGAGAGGAATTAAAAGAGTAGTTTTTTCTTTCAAAAAAAAAAAAAAAAAAAAACAAAACAAAAAAAAAAAAAAACATTTTAATCTCATTCATAAACTTTTGTATTTTTTTTAATTCATTGAATAATGAAATTCTTTTGAAAATATTTAGAATAAATTTGATATTGTTATCTTCCTATACAAAATATTTACTTACAATCATCAATTCAAAATGCATTGACAATAATAAATTAGTTTCTCTGAGAAAAGGTGGTGTTTTCTAATCATCATGACGTTTTCACACTATTTCACAATACCATATTCCATATGATGATGAATAGAGCATTAGAGCATAGAGCATTTAATTAGACACAAATTTATTGTAATGTTTGATACCAAGACTAAAACAACGAATAATGTATGTGTTTATTACCTCCGAATGATGTAGTCGTTGTCTCATTAAGTGATGAATTTGCTGAACCTTAAATTTAAAAATGGACGCCTGAATTACTTGAAATATCAGTTATAGAACGATTAAAATATTTGCAAATGAAAAAGATGCTTAACTGTATCTTTGAAGGATAAAATAAGTTATTGAGAAATATTGAAAAACTAGTATTTTTTGTCTTTTAAAAATCCATTTCAATCTATTTTTCAATTTCTTAAGATCAAAACGGTTATGGGGAGGAATTGAAAAACTTGTATTAATTTTGTAAAAAAAAAAAAAATCAATTTCAATCTCATTCATAAACATTTTTAATGATCTTTTTATTTCATTGAATAATGAAATTCATTTGAAAACATAAAGAATAAATTTTATAGGGTTTGCATGTTCCTTTACAAAATATCCACTTACAGTTATCAATTCAAACTACACTGACAATAAGAAATTGGTTTCTCTGAGAAAAAAAATAGTTCAAGATATGGTACACCGATTTTTTGGGGGGAGGGGGGGGGGGGGAGAGGTGTGTTTTGTTTGTTTTTTTAAATACAGAAACGCCAGTTTGTTTTCAGTCTTTAACAATTTTTCACAGATGGTCTTTTCTAATCATCATTGCTTTTTCACACTATTTCACAATACCAATTTCAATATAATGATGAATATAGCAGTTTATTTATTTAGACAAAAATTTATTGTAATGTTTTATACCAAAACTAAAACAACGAATAATGTATGTGTTTATTACCTCCGGATGATGTAGTCGTTGTCTCATTAATTGATGAATTTCCTGAACCTGAAGTTTGAGAGTGGAGGCCTGAATTACTTGAAATATCAGTTGCGAACGATTGTGATATTTGCAAATGAAAAATTTGCTATCAGTTTTTAAATAAAAGGTCACTGAGTCCGAGAGGAATTAAAAGAGTAGTTTTTTCTTTCAAAAAAAAAAACAAAACAAAACAAAACAAAACAAAAAAACAAAAAACATTTTAATCTCATTCATAAACTTTTGTATTTTTTTTAATTCATTGAAAAATGAAATTCTTTTGAAAATATTTAGAATAAATTTGATATTGTTATCTTCCTATACAAAATATTTACTTACAATCATCAATTCAAAATGCATTGACAATAATAAATTAGTTTCTCTGAGAAAAGGTGGTGTTTTCTAATCATCATGACGTTTTCACACTATTTCACAATACCATATTCCATATGATGATGAATAGAGCATTAGAGCATAGAGCATTTAATTAGACACAAATTTATTGTAATGTTTTATACCAAGACTAAAACAACGAATAATGTATGTGTTTATTACCTCCGAATGATGTAGTCGTTGTCTCATTAAGTGATGAATTTGCTGAACCTGAAGTTTAAAAATGGACGCCTGAATTACTTGAAATATCAGTTATAGAACGATTAAAATATTTGCAAATGAAAAAGATGCTTAACTGTATCTTTGAAGGATAAAATAAGTTATTGAGAAATATTGAAAAACTAGTATTTTTTGTCTTTTAAAAATCCATTTCAATCTATTTTTCAATTTCTTAAGATCAAAACGGTTATGGGGAGGAATTGAAAAACTTGTATTAATTTTGTAAAAAAAAAAAATCAATTTCAATCTCATTCATAAACATTTTTAATGATCTTTTTATTTCATTGAATAATGAAATTCATTTGAAAACATAAAGAATAAATTTTATAGGGTTTGCATGTTCCTTTACAAAATATCCACTTACAGTTATCAATTCAAACTACACTGACAATAAGAAATTGGTTTCTCTGAGAAAAAAAATAGTTCAAGATATGGTACACCGATTTTTTCGGGGGAGGGGGGGGGGGGGGGAGAGGTGTGTTTTGTTTGTTTTTTTAAATACAGAAACGCCAGTTTGTTTTCAGTCTTTAACAATTTTTCACAGATGGTCTTTTCTAATCATCATTGCTTTTTCACACTATTTCACAATACCAATTTCAATATAATGATGAATATAGCAGTTTATTTATTTAGACAAAAATTTATTGTAATGTTTTATACCAAAACTAAAACAACGAATAATGTATGTGTTTATTACCTCCGGATGATGTAGTCGTTGTCTCATTAATTGATGAATTTCCTGAACCTGAAGTTTGAGAGTGGAGGCCTGAATTACTTGAAATATCAGTTGCGAACGATTGTGATATTTGCAAATGAAAAATTTGCTATCAGTTTTTAAATAAAAGGTCACTGAGTCCGAGAGGAATTAAAAGAGTAGTTTTTTCTTTCAAAAAAAAAACAAAACAAAACAAAACAAAAAAAAAAACAAAACATTTTAATCTCATTCATAAACTTTTGTATTTTTTTTAATTCATTGAATAATGAAATTCTTTTGAAAATATTTAGAATAAATTTGATATTGTTATCTTCCTATACAAAATATTTACTTACAATCATCAATTCAAAATGCATTGACAATAATAAATTAGTTTCTCTGAGAAAAGGTGGTGTTTTCTAATCATCATGACGTTTTCACACTATTTCACAATACCATATTCCATATGATGATGAATAGAGCATTAGAGCATAGAGCATTTAATTAGACACAAATTTATTGTAATGTTTTATACCAAGACTAAAACAACGAATAATGTATGTGTTTATTACCTCCGGATGATGTAGTCGTTGTCTCATTAAGTGATGAATTTGCTGAACCTGAAGTTTAAAAATGGACGCCTGAATTACTTGAAATATCAGTTTACGAACGATTATGATATTTGCAAATGACAAAGATGCTTAACTGTATCTTTGAAGGATAAAATAAGTTATTGAGAAATATTGAAAAACTAGTATTTTTTGTCTTTTAAAAAATCCATTTCAATCTATTTTTCAATTTCTTAAGATCAAAACGGTTATGGGGAGGAATTGAAAAACTTGTATTAATTTTGTAAAAAAAAAAAAAAATCAATTTCAATCTCATTCATAAACATTTTTAATGATCTTTTTATTTCATTGAATAATGTAATTCATTTGAAAACATAAAGAATAAATTTTATAGGGTTTGCATGTTCCTTTACAAAATATTCACTTACAGTTATCAATTCAAACTACACTGACAATAAGAAATTGGTTTCTCTGAGAAAAAAAATAGTTCAAGATATGGTACACCGATTTTTTCGGGGGGAGGGGGGGAGGGGGAGAGGTGTGTTTTGTTTGTTTTTTCAAATACAGAAACGCCAGTTTGTTTTCAGTCTTTAACAATTTTTCACAGATGGTCTTTTCTAATCATCATTGCTTTTTCGCACTATTTCACAATACCAATTTCAATATAATGATGAATATAGCAGTTTCTTTATTTAGACAAAAATTTATTGTAATGTTTGATACCAAAACTAAAACAACGAATAATGCATGTTTTATTACCTCCTGATAATGTGGTCGTTGTCTCAATAATTGATGAATTTCCTGAACCTGAAGTTTGAGAGTAGACACCTGAATTACTTGAAATATCAGTTGCGAACGATTGTGATATTTGCAAATGAAAAATTTGTTATCAGTTTTTAAATAAAAGGTCACTGAGTCCGAGAGGAATTAGAAGAGTAGTTTTTTCTTTCAAAAAAAACAAAACAAAACAAAACAAAACAACAAAAAAAACCAAAACATTTTAATCTCATTCATAAACTTTTGTATTTTTTTTAATTCATTGAATAATGAAATTCTTTTGAAAATATTTAGAATAAATTTGATATTGTTATCTTCCTATACAAAATATTTACTTACAATCATCAATTCAAAATGCATTGACAATAATAAATTAGTTTCTCTGAGAAAAGGTGGTGTTTTCTAATCATCATGACGTTTTCACACTATTTCACAATACCATATTCCATATGATGATGAATAGAGCATTAGAGCATAGAGCATTTAATTAGACACAAATTTATTGTAATGTTTTATACCAAAACTAAAACAACGAATAATGTATGTGTTTATTACCTCCGGATGATGTAGTCGTTGTCTCATTAAGTGATGAATTTGCTGAACCTTAAATTTAAAAATGGACGCCTGAATTACTTGAAATATCAGTTATAGAACGATTAAAATATTTGCAAATGACAAAGATGCTTAACTGTATCTTTGAAGGATAAAATAAGTTATTGAGAAATATTGAAAAACTAGTATTTTTTGTCTTTTAAAAATCCATTTCAATCTATTTTTCAATTTCTTAAGATCAAAACGGTTATGGGGAGGAATTGAAAAACTTGTATTAATTTTGTAAAAAAAAAAATCAATTTCAATCTCATTCATAAACATTTTTAATGATCTTTTTATTTCATTGAATAATGAAATTCATTTGAAAACATAAAGAATAAATTTTATAGGGTTTGCATGTTCCTTTACAAAATATTCACTTACAGTTATCAATTCAAACTACACTGACAATAAGAAATTGGTTTCTCTGAGAAAAAAAATAGTTCAAGATATGGTACACCGATTTTTTCGGGTGGAGGGGGGGAGGGGGAGAGGTGTGTTTTGTTTGTTTTTTTAAATACAGAAACGCCAGTTTGTTTTCAGTCTTTAACAATTTTTCACAGATGGTCTTTTCTAATCATCATTGCTTTTTCACACTATTTCACAATACCAATTTCAATATAATGATGAATATAGCAGTTTCTTTATTTAGACAAAAAATTATTGTAATGTTTGATACCAAAACTAAAACAACGAATAATGTATGTTTTATTACCTCCTGATAATGTGGTCGTTGTCTCAATAATTGATGAATTTCCTGAACCTGAAGTTTGAGAGTAGACACCTGAATTACTTGAAATATCAGTTGCGAACGATTGTGATATTTGCAAATGAAAAATTTGCTATCAGTTTTTAAATAAAAGGTCACTGAGTCCGAGAGGAATTAGAAGAGTAGTTTTTTCTTTCAAAAAAAAAAACAAAACAAAACAAAAAAAAAAAAAAAAAAAAAAAACAATTTAATCTCATTAATAAACTTTTGTATTTTTTTTTTAATTCATTGAAAAATGAAATTCTTTTGAAAATATTTCGAATAAATTTGATATTGTTATCTTCCTATACAAAATATTTACTTACAATCATCAATTCAAAATGCATTGACAATAATAAATTAGTTTCTCTGAGAAAAGGTGGTGTTTTCTAATCATCATGACGTTTTCACACTATTTCACAATACCATATTCCATATGATGATGAATAGAGCATTAGAGCATAGAGCATTTAATTAGACACAAATTTATTGTAATGTTTGATACCAAAACTAAAACAACGAATAATGTATGTGTTTATTACCTCCGAATGATGTAGTCGTTGTCTCATTAAGTGATGAATTTGCTGAACCTGAAGTTTAAAAATGGACGCCTGAATTACTTGAAATAACAGTTTATGAACGATTATGATATTTGCAAATGAAGAAGATGATATCTTTTCAAGATAAAAACGGTTTTTGAGAGGAATTAAAAGAAGAGTATTTGTAAAAAAAAATCGATTTCAATCTAATTCATAAACATTTGTATTGTTATTTTTTTTTAATTCATCGAATAATAAAAACTCACTTCAAAATATTTAGAATACGAGGGGCGTTCAATACATAATGTCATTAGCTCGATGACATACAACATAGTAGTCATATGACATAAAGCTTGACTTTCTCTCATTATTGAATCTTTAATGAATTGATAACAGTTTGTGTGACCACTTTTCATTGCATTATTTCATCGTGGGGAGCTGGAAAACAAGGTCTATTCGAGACACTGCATTAAGATGAATGGTCAAGAATCAGTAAACTAGAGTAAAATTAAACGCTTCATTAAAGCAGCTGTAAAACTTGTTAATATCTCAAAAATATTTGAACTGAAATATGTGAAATTTACATCAGCCAATGCCTGTTTAGTAGACAAATGAACATGTAGATTTTAATAATTAAAAATTATATAATGGGCATCAAAAATGGGTACCGTCCTTGGCAACAATGACTTACAACAACCGATGTAAATTTGCGAAATTTCAACTAATTGTGACTGATTATGAATTAATGACTGTAAGACACATAGCAAAATTGATAAAAACCATTTTGGGGATAGTTCATACTGTTTTAAAGAAACATTTTACAGTAAAAAAGTTTAATACTCAAAGGTAAACCTATATTTTGAAAAATGAGTGAAAACGACAGCGTGTAGGAATCTCCAAAAAATTATTTTAAAAAATCAAAAAATGTACATATCCACGTTTGTATGAAATTCTAACAGATAATTAAACTTGAATCCATTTTGCTTGAAGCCCTCAGAACAAATTTACAATAAGATGCACTTGACAAAACTGGAAAGGCCTAAGAAGAGCAAAGAATTGCAATGAGCATAAAACAGTTTATAGGCATTTTCTTAAATATTAGCGGTCTTATATTGTTCAAATTCATATTCGATGAGGAAGTTCAATTTCTGGAGGAGTCTAGAAAACAATTTTTTGCAAAAAAATGAAAGGTTTAAGAGAGGAAGGAAACAGAATGAGAAATTCACTACATTAAATGTCTTCATGACGGCGTCCAAACCCAAAGGCCATGAAAAGTAAAGGAGTTTTCGGGATAAACAGAAAGTTAATGTATTGTCACACCTACAAAATTTGCCAGATCTTTCAACCTTTGACTTGTTTCATTTCCCAAACTTAGAAAAACGTCTATTAGAAAGAAAAAACAAGTACTGCAAATCAAAGAATCTGCCATATTCCAGTATACGAAGGCTCATACTCAAAAATGTGTTCGAAAAACAATTAGAAATTGAGTGAAAAAATTACGGATATGCGTTTTAATTGAAGAGAATATTTTAGTTAAATCATTAAGACTAAGTTATCGAAAAGCGTTTTTTGTTTCTTTCAGAGCCCCAATGACACTATTTATTGAACGCCCCTCGTATTTGATATGGTTTGCATCTTCCTTTTCAAAATATTCATTTACATAGATCAATTCAAAGTGCACTGACAATAATAATTTGGTTTCTCTGAGAAAAAAAATGATTCAAGATATGGTACAACGTATTGTGGGGGAGAGGTTTGTTTTGTTGTTTTAAATACAGAAACGCCAGTTTGTTTTCAGTCTTTAACAAGTTTTAACACGCGTTTTCTAATCATCATAACTTTTTCACACTGTTTCACAAAACCATTTTCTACATAATAATGAATGTAGCATTTTTGTTTTTTGGACAAAAAAATTAGTATCTTTAAAACCAAGACTAAAGCAAAGAAAAATGTAGGTTTTATTACCTCCGGATGATGTGGTTGTTGTCTCATTAAGTGATGAACTCGCTGAACCTTAAATTTAAAAATGCACGCCTGAATTACTTGAAATATCAGTTTACGAACGAGTAAAATATTTGCAAATGACAAAGATCCTATCTTTGTAGAATAAAAAACAGTTATGGAGAGGATTGAAAAACTGGTTTTTGATGAAAAAAAAAACATTTCAATCTCATTCATGAACATTTTAATGATCTTTCTAATTCATAGAATAAGGAACTACATTTGAAAACATTTAGAATAAATCTGATATGATTTGCATCTTCCTTTTCAAAATATTTACTTACAGTTATCAATTCAAAGTGAATTGACAATAATAATAGATTTCTTTGAGAAAAAATAATTGAAGATATGAACAGTGGGACGGACAACTTCGGAATGGACATTTTTCCGAACTTGCGCACCCTTTTCCTTTAAAGCTATCATCTTAGGGTTTTTTTTAAATGGTGGGGTTTTTATAATCAAATTGATTTATGAAAAAAAAAATTCAACATTTTCTGCTAGTTTTTGAGATATTTGAGTTCAAAAACAAAAATCCCATGGGGAAACATGAACTTAAAAATACCCCACAAAAAACCCCACAAAAACCCCATGGGGTTTATTTTTCACCCCATGGGGTTAAATAACCCATATTATTTTTCGTGGGGTTTTTTAACCCACGTCTCACTAAAAATAAAATGTGGGGTTTATTATCCCATAATTTTTATGTGGGGTAAAAAAAACCCATATTATTTCTCTTAATGCTTGTAATTATCAAGTGAGAATTATAAAATAAATATTGTTTGGAGTTGCAACATAAATTAAGTACAATACATGTACATTTTTATCAACTTTGTAACAATTTAATTAATTAATTTTTTTTTCAAATTCATTGATATACAGTACCTGGCCATAAGTGAGTCATAATTTTATTTTTACACTATATATTTCATTGAAAAACCTATTTTCATAAAAACTTGTTGTGAAGTCAATTTTAGCTCAATTTTCATGATTTTTTCACTGAAACATGCAGAATTATTCAAATTTTCTTATCTTAAATGATAAACAAAATGATACTTAAACTATTGAGAATAAATCATAAAATATTGTCATGACAAAATTTTCTAACCTCAAATTACTATGATTTCTTAACAAATTGAAGTCTTAAAATTTTTGTTTTGCACTTGACCTGTGATTAAACAATTTTGAAATAATGTGAAGAAACTACAACAAATTCTGCATTTTATGGTGTTTTAGACATTAAAAAGAAACAATAAATGACACTGCAAGAATATTTTAGAAAAATGTGTTTCCTAATGAAATATATAGTGGAAAAATAAAATTATGACTCACTTATGGCCAAGTACTGTACATTTATCACTGCATATGTAAATTAGACATGGCATAAGCATGATAAGAAGGGAATTAAATTGTATTTTTTTGACTGACCCGTAAGTGAAAAAGTAAACAAATACGGATTAAAAGTTTGAAAGTTAATCTAATATTCCAAGTGGGGGAGAGAAATGAATATAAAAAAAGACATTGGAGTGGACCGGCAATTTCATCAGAAAAACAATGTAAAAAATAACGTGACTTTGTTTACGCTAGCGTAGCTCACAGGTTATTGTTTTCACTATTTTACTGATAAAACTGCCGACTCCTCAGTCCTGTGACCTGTTATTGAACACTGTTGATCGTGAATCACATAGTAATGATAGTTGTTCTACTTACATGGAGTTTAGTTTGAGCTCTGCTGTTTGTAGCATAATGGACTTGATTCAAACAAAGACAAAAACTTCTCTACTTTTCAAAGAATGTTTTTGAAATTGATTGAAGGAGACCAAATCAAATCATGACTTGTGATACTTCTAATTCCTCATTTTGGCACCATTGTCACCCACATCTTTTTCTTTCCCTATGTATAAGTCGTACTCTAAGAAACATATGGGTGACTCTGACAAATAGCGTAAAATTCAAAGACTAAACTGTTATATTTATCCGGAATTTGTTTTTCAGCTACACTGACAAAAGTTAAGTATATTATACTTATAGATGTTTATGCCCACTGGCCCTGATTTGGGAATAAATCCCATTGTATTCCATTCTAAATAATCTGTAAATGCAGTAGCTTCTCAATCCTAAACCAGAAAAATGCTTTCTTTAAAGTGATTAAAAGAACCAGTTCGTCTTCTTTCATGCAATATAACACTTTTATAGCTTTTTCAAAGGAATTAATAAATTTAAATCATAAAAAAAGAGATGAAAGAAGACGAACTGGTAGCGTTTCGAAGGTGTTATGGAATAAAAATACCACACCAAGCAAATTTACATGAAATAAAATGAAAGAAAAGACCTATAGCCCTCAAGGTTTCACTGGTCAGCATTATCAAGGACTAATAAATTCATTCAATACGCATACAGGTACGGACTGACTATATAAAATCTAATATTTATTTTTGAATATAAATTATGTCTATAAGGCAGCTATAAAGCTCCTCC